TCCAGCCCAACCCTCAGCCCTGCACAGGCCCAGCCCCAAGAGTCCCCCCCTGTGCCCCAGAGGATCAGCCAAACCCTCCTGGAGCTCTGGCAGCCTTGGGGCTGTGCCCACTGCCCTGGGGAGCCTGGGCAGTGCCCAACCACCCTCTGGGGGAAGAACCTTTCCCTGAGATCCAACCTAAACCTTGGCTGTCATGAGATGTTTCCTGGTTAACTTACACCTATATAAATAAAACACACTCTGTGTCCCTGCCAGGCTTCCCATGGTCTAATTAGAGCCCGTCCTGTCATCAGGAAAGCCCAATGCCAGCAGCAGGGATGCTCGTGGCACCTCCAGGGTACGTGGAGTGGACAACAGATGGACAAGGAGCAACCTGAGCCCGGAGCTGAGCGACAACATACGGGGAGATGTGGAAATGTGGCCAAACAGGGCTGGCAGGAGAGAGGAGACCCTTCAGAGAGCTGGCACAAGGTCTCCAGTATCACAAGGAGCAAGGTTTGGAGCTGCTCTTGGCAGAAGTCGAAGCCACGATCGTGGAAATCGAAAAACTGAGGGATAAAGGTCTCATTTCAAGACGACGGCAACGACGGCGCCGCTGTGAGATGCCACGAGGAACCCAAGGACTCATCCCCACGGGCTCCAGCTGAGGCAACCCCTGGGTCAACACCCCCAGTCACCAATCTGAAGGTCTGAGCACCAGTGGCAACCCAGAGACCGGAGAGTGGCTGCTCACAGCCCTTGTCTGGACCCGATTTAATTTTCAATCATTTCGCGGCAGCCCCAAGAGTCCCTTCTGACCTCAAACTGAAGTTTGAGGTCACAGCACTGAGTCAGAACCAAAAGGGATCAGCAATAACACAGTAAATGGAATTTGGATCTGAAATCAAGAATCAGAGAACCCTAAAATGGTTTGGGTTGGAAGGGATCTTCAAGATCATCCACTTCCACCCCCCTGCCCTGGGCAGGGACACCTTCCACTAGACCAGTTTGCTCCAAGCCTGGCCTTGAACACTTCCAGGGATGGGGCAGCCACAACTTCTCTGAGCTAAAGAAACCTACTTTTATATATATAAATAATAAAAATAATTATACATATAAAATTATAATACATAAGAAGCAGTCATTACCAATAAAATTGGCTTTCTGTAGCTTTTTAAACCTTTTAAAAGTGGGAAAAAAATAGCAGAGTAAGAGCGTGTGTGTGAGCTGGAAAGAGTTTCTGCCTAATTACAAACCCTCTGATCTGTACAGCTCTTGGCACTGGAATATTTGGGGAAGAGAAAAAAAAATCCCAAACATTTAAAACACGCTTGGTCTTCCTCAAGTCTTTTTTACTCCTCTCTGCCTTTGTTTGCCTCGTTTAGGAAAACCAGCTGGTATTAATTAAGCTTCATACACCACCATCAGGAACAGCAGCCAGATCTGAGAAAATAAAGCCTAATCACAGGAATCCACTCAATTGTTTGGGGAAAAAAAATAACAATTATGGCTCAGAACAGCGGTAAAACAGGAGCTACCAAAGGAAAAGGCAGGAAAGAGGCTGGTTTATAGAAAATGGGATAAAAATAAACTATGATCATAGAAAGAGAAATTTTAGAGGGTGTCCAGAAAAGCTGTGGTTGGTCCATCTCTGGAAGAGTCCAAGGCCTGGTGGGATGGGGCTTGGAGTAACCTGGGCTAGTGGAAGGTGTCCCTGCCCATGGCAAGGGGTTAGAATTGGATGATCTTTGGGATCTCTTCCAACCCAAACATCTTTTCCAGCCTTACTTCAAGTGATTCCCTTCACCTGAGAAGAAATAAAATCCTGGACCCCGGCAGAGCTTTCCTTGCACGAAGCTCTGTGTGAATCAGGTGGGGATGAGAATAGGTGGAAAGAAAAGGGAATATTGGGGAAGAAAATATTGAAAAATATCAAATGAAAGAATATTGATTCCTCCCTAAACTCATCCCGAAAGGCTGGAAATCAGGAGTTGTGGATGTAGCACTGGATCTGAGGGAGAAGAATCTCCCCTTTCTGACAGGGATTCCTCTCTGTCTAAAACAGGAGGAAAATCAGGTTGTTTCCAAAGACTTCCTAAGACTTCTCCAACTGCAAGACACATAAAGCCAAAACCTGCTCCTTGAACAAGCGATTTGCTCGTCCCTCCTGTAAAACACACAGAGGGTGAGGACCAGGGGGGGAAGCACAATCCCAGGTCAGCTGCTCTGTCCCTTCCCAAGCCTTCTCAAGCATCGTTTGCCAACTGCAAATGTGGAAGGGGCTCACTTTAATTAATCCTGGCTCTCCACAGCCCACGGGAGGCTCACACTGGGAGCTGATTTGTTGCTAACTGACAGCAGAGATGGTTTAATGAGGGCTGAGGACACCATGAAATGAACCTCAGGGCTGTTTGTTATTTGTCGTCGTCGTCGTTTACAAAAAAACCAAACTTGGCGCTTGAGTTATTAATCCAGGTATTTACAACACAAAAATCCCTCCCTGCTCTGCAGGGTTTTCTCCACGTTGGGAATTCAGCAGGGAATAAGTGCTGTCAGGGATGAGGAGGACACAAGTTATTCCACACAGGCGTCAGGAGTGTCCCCAAAGGCTCGGCTACAGGGACATCAGGGCACAGAGATTTCATTGTCACACACCCCACGTGCCACAATCTGCTCCACCTGGATCTTCTTCCAACAGCAGGAAGGAGAAAGCACCTGTGGAGGCGGCTCCACGTGGAAGAAGACCTCCTTCCAACATCAGGAAGAAGAAGAACCCATGAAGGCTTCTGCCCTTCTCCACCCCCCCAACCACATCCATGGATCTGTGGAAAGCTCCTGCCTCCCTGTAACGATATTCTGACCCTCAGAGCACCACAGCTACAAACCATTGCTATTCCAGAGCTCTTCACAGGCACCAAGGGTTAGTGGATCCCAGTGGATCCGGTGGCACCAGGGTGGCACTTGCAAGAAGGCAGAAACACCCTCTGGCAGGAGGATTTCCCCTTGCACGAGGCTGAAACGCTGCAGTTTTATCATCTACAGGTCTCAGGGGAGCTTTTCACTCTCTGCTTTCTACACGAGTGTTTCTCACAGCACCACTGATGGCCCCTCCTGCACTTTGAACATGTTGTTCTGCTTCAACTTCTTTGCAGGAGCTGAGTCAGCCTTGGAGGAACCAAAGATTTCCAAGACCTGCACCAGCTGTCCCAACACGGACACCTCTCAGTGGTTTCCTTACCAAAGCTCCTCAGGGTGCCAAAACTCTGCCAACATGACTCCTCCGGGTCTCCTGCCCCTCTAATCTGCCCCTGTTGCCGAAATGGAGAGGAGCATTAGTGCCAACAATGTGGAATTTCCATCCCTGGAGCCGTGCAGGGGGTTGGAAGGCAGGTTGTGAGTGGCAGCAGCAGCATGTCAAGCCGGAGAACTTCGCTTTAGGAATTCACAGGGTGGGAAAATGCTGAACTAAGGACTGAGGAAGAAACTCAAGCTCTCCCATGGAAGCTGTGGATGGAAAACACAGCGCTGAGGTTGGTGGGATGGGGATTTGGATTATACCTCAGTTGTGGGAGCAGCTCCGTGGGGTTATGAAGTGTGGGAGCTCACACCAGGCTGGGCTGTGCAGGGTTAATTCTGCAGTGAAGGGGTAACAGGGGGGATACAGAGCAGGCCAAGCCAGAAACATGGAAAACTATCCAGCAGATGTGTATCCAATCAAATGGACAGTTCCCCCTCAAAACCTCAAGGCACTTGAACAACTCTACGCCCTTTGCAAAGTTGTCTGGCAGCTGCACAAGAAGAAAAATCAAACTTTCTGTGGCTCAAGAAAAAGGAAAAAATCTTGGCCAGGGGGAAAAAAATACCATTTTTTGGTATTTGCTGTGGGATCCTTAATGTTCCAGCAGGAAAGGTACAACCTTTTACTTCAGTGGCTTATTTGAAAACCCGATGTAAGAAATAACTTCCATGAGTTGCTCCTGAGAAATGTCTCTGTCCCTTTGGGAATGAGCTGACCCTGCTACCGATGTCACCTTGTGCTACTGGGAAATAGGAGTGTTAAAAGTCAAGAGACAATGATTTTAGTGATGTTAAAAGCTCCTCTCCAACAGGTTACTTCAGATATGACTCCAGAGGAGGCCTCGGAGATGCTCCAAGGGCTGGAGCCCCTCTGCTCTGGAGCCAGGCTGGGAGAGCTGGGGGGGTTCCCCTGGAGAAGAGAAGGCTCCAGGGAGAGCTGAGAGCCCCTTGCAGGGCCTGAAGGGGCTCCAGGAGAGCTGGAGAGGGACTGGGGACAAGGGATGGAGGGACAGGACACAGGGAATGGCTTCCCACTGCCAGAGGGCAGAGATAGATGGGATATTGGGAAGGAATTCCTGGCTGGGAGGGTCCCCGTTCCAGGTTGGGCAGAGAAGCCGTGGCTGCCCCTGGATCCCTGGAAGTGTCCAAGGCCAGGCTTGGAGCAACCTGGGCTAGTGGAAGGTGTCCCTGCCCATGGCAGGGGGTGAGACTGGATGATCTTTAAGGTCCCTTCCAACTCAAACCATTCCATGATTCCATAACAAGATCTGAGCACCATTTCCAGCTTGAAAAATGTCCACAGGCAAAAGATGCAATTCCGAGCACTGTGGATCGAGGTGCCAACCCACCAGGAGAACACCTCCAGAGTCCTGCCTCTCTCCAGCACCTCAGCTGCCACGCCATCACCCTGCAGCCTCAAAGTGTCCATTTTAATTTGGAACAGGTAAATTCACCCCCAGTTAATGGATAATTGGATAATTTGAGTTCACGGAGCAGCAAAGCCGCGGCGCAGGGAGTTCTGGAAGCACTTAGAAGTCTCCCTCTGGGGAAAAGCTTTGGCATGCACGGACAGACACACCTCAGGGTTACAATATTTCTGGTTATGAAGGCTGAGTTCTGTCAATTAAAAGACAAAAACATGCTTGGCAACCCAAACAAGCATCTCCAAAGCACCGCGGCGCCGCCGTAAGTCACGAAATAAAGAGATATAAAGCGTTACCCACTGCTATTGAGACAGCACTTATGACAGCTCCCAAGTAGCCCTGGATGAACTTGGATGTCGGAGAAGGCTTTGGAAAGAAAAAACAAAACATATTTTCAGTAAACAAACTTCTGGTTATTAAAACGCAACCAAGTTTTTTGGTTGGTTTGTTTGTTTGTTCTGGTGTTATTTGTTTCAAAGCGCAGACAGGTTGAATTTTGTCATATTGTTCTGTGACACACGGTCTGTCAGCAAGCAGAGGCAAGAGCGAGGGAAACCGTGGCCTCATGAGCGAGGTTAAAGGGAACGGAAAATTAATTGGCATCAGAAAATTATAATAATAGCAGCTCAAAGGGAGGACGGGAATGAAATTCAGCAAATGGTACCAAATTAGCATTTTTACCCTCTAGTGCTGAACCCCAAACTCGCCACATTAAATATTTTGTCTCTGAAACATTATCTCTATGAGCTGGACGGTTTCCAGCTCGGCTTCCCACATCCTGACACGGGATGAATGAAGGCTAAGGAGAAGGAGGAGAGCGGGAGCAGCCCCACCACTTCCCGGCAGCGCAGACAGCGTGCTCAGGGAGACACCTCGTCCTGCCCAAAAACCCCAACACCCCTTTGCTCTGTGCTCATTTGCATACCAATTAAACCATCCCACCCCAGCCTGAACCACGAGCTCAGGGGCACCGAGCATCACTCATGCGACACCGAGACCCTCGTGCTGCTTCCAGTTGAGGGGTTAAACTGGGAGCCTGCACAGGAGAATGGCCAAGCTATAAATCCCTCACGGAGTTTCCATTAACAGGGAAGAGACAGGGCTTCTGCTGCCGTGTCAAAACAGCCCTGACGCGCCACATATGTTGGGTCTCCTCACCTTTGTCGCGTTGCGGTTTGCATAGTTGACGCAGGCGTTGTGGCTCTGATTCAACCACTAGAGAGGGAACAAGGAGAGACAGGCATCAGCAGGACTTGAGGAAAATGAATGGATGTTCTGTAAAAGTGGGAGTTCTAGGGGGAAAATTCACCTCCCTGGTGCCTCGTCCCGAAGGTTTGCGGGTGGTCTGAGTGGGGTTTAATGGCCTTCAAAGCGAGGGGCAGGAATCTCTCAGTGCCCAGAGGGCAGCTCTGCTCCCTTGGGAGCTTGATGTGCAACTCCTCTCCTGGCCCAATCCACCTCCAGTGACACCTCGGTGCTATTGGTCTTTATTTTCAGGGAATCACAGAATCGTTTGAGTTGGAAAAGACCCTCTGGGATCATGGAGTCCAACCTGTGACCCTTCACCACCTTGTCCCCCAGCCCAGAGCACTGAGTGCCACGTCCAGTTGTTCCTTAGACACCTCCAGGGATGGGGATTCCAACACCTCCCTGGGCAGCCCCTTCCAATGTCTAATAGCCCTTCCTGTGAAGAAATTCTTCCTGATGTCCAAGCATCAAATCCATCTTGTTGTTAGGATGTAGCAGGAAGCCCAGCAGCCGTTTCATCAGCCACTTATTGAGCTCCAAGTTTCTCACACAGAGGGTCACAGGAGGCTTCAGCTGAGGAACAGGAGATGAGCAGATGTACCAGCTTATGGATACAGATGGCATTAAAGTGGTACTGGAACAGAGAAGCTGTGGCTGCCCCTGGATCTCTGGAAGTGCCCAAGGCCAGGCTGGATGGGGCTTGGAGCAACCTGGGCTAGTAGAAGGTGTCCCTGCCCACGGCAGGGGGGTGGAATGAGACGAGCTTTGAGGTCCCTTCCAACCCAAACCATTCTGTGATTCCAACACAGATATTTAAAAACAGGTGGGGGGAGCTGCCTACAAAAACCTGGACAAGCCAGGATGTCTCCAGCCACTCTCCCACTCCCAGCAGGTGAAGCCAAAGGGCACAACCTCCAGCTAGACCCACCAGACCACAAGTAACTGGCACCTTCCAATGGATTCTCGGCTCTGCCATGCTTTTAACACCCCAGGCAGATCCCACTCTGCTCTGATGTTCCGCAACTGCATAATTCCCTATCGTCACTTACACTGCAGACAATAAAAAGACATTCACCACTGAAAATAAGGCTGAAAATAACTTGTTCCTTCGTCTCAGGGAGTGCTGGCATCGCACTGAAGTGGCGTGTTTACTATGGATATAACTCATTCACGTGCACACCTCCTCCCCGCACTCCTAATTCCCAGAATTTTAGTGGGAAATTACACCAACACCTCCCTACACACAGACTATTTTTTTCCCAAAGCTCCTGTAGCAAACTGAAAGCAGAGGTCCTTGGCTTTGCAATGCACAGCTATTCCCAAAATTCCTGGGAATGGGGCCTCCTGTCATCTTTAGCCCTGCACTTCCAAGGGGAATTCACCAGGGAAGATCCAAACCACATGACAGGGTGTCCACAAATCAGCAGACGTGTCAAAATTTTCTGTTTGTTTACATTTACACCTGTACAAAATGGGTTTAAAAAGCTGATTTTGAAATTTTGGACCATTTTGCCACTTCCTTTGTGATGGCAAAAGTAGCTGTGGGATAAAACAGAGCCCTATATTGGTTTATAGTCCCTTCCAGACCTACCAAACCCTTCCCTAATTATATCCAGACACGTCCTCTCCCTAAACCATGACCAGAGCAGAACAGCCACGTGCATCAGTTTGTCCTCCAGGTAAAATTCCACTTTCCTCTCCCCCACATTCCCCACCCATCCCAGCAGGTGCTACCTGCCAAAACACAGTGGATGCCAGCGTCTGGTTGGGCAAGAGGAGACCAACAACCTGCAAAAGAGAAGAGATTTTCCCATCAGTGAATGCTCTTTTGCTTTGCTCTCAGTGCTCTTCCAGGCATGCAAACAGCCAAGCTTATTTCTAAGCTTGAATAAATTATCTTCATTAATGGCTTTACTTAATTTTAGTTATTGAACTTCCCATCAGCCTCTTGCCTCCCAGTTTTCCAGCGGTGAAACCGGGTGACGTAGCTGCCCGTGAAAGCTTTGCATCTTTAATTACTGCTTGTAACACACCTTGAAAATACTCTGGCAGCAAAGATCAGGTCATTAAAATACAATCAATTCCTTAATCCAGGTATTTCTGGAGGAAAACACAAACATTGCCTGAAGGCAAGAGTTCAAAGTTGTCACTACTGGCAGCAAAGAACGGGTAGGGGGGTTTCCGATTTTCCTTTGGCACATTCCCTGTTTGAAGCACAGGAAAGAAATCCCATTTGAACATCTGAGGACAGGAATGCCACCTGGAAGCACATGTGCTCCTGTTTGGGAGCCTGGATTTTGTTTTAAGAGCCTTGTTGATGTGTCATACCCTCAGCTGTGAAAACTCCTGCCTGGGTTACAAGCCTGGGGTGACGATCATCGTCTCCCAGAGGCTTCCAGCAGCTTGTCCCAGCACATCTGGCCAGATGTTTCCAGTTGCTGCCTGAACTGAGATGCCACAGGCTTTGCCAGGTCACCCATCTGAGGTCATATAAATGTATTTTTCCTGTACAAGTCCTGAGAACGTCCTTGGGACGTGTCTCACTCCACCACACGGACACAACCTCTGCAATTCTCTAAAGACCCATCTCTGACACACAAACTGCCTTGTTTTATGGTAGTTTTTCCTGTTTTATGGCATTTCCCCCTGCTTTATGGCCATTTTTTTCCCTATTCTATGGCAATTTTTCCTTTCGGAGCATGAGAAGTTGAAGGAAAGGAAAGGGATGCAAAGCAAGGGGACTCCCAATGATAAACCCAGAAAATGAGGATGGGACGACGAGTTCTTGGTTAAGAGACAGGTAAGATGAGCTACTTCCTAACACCACTGTCCTTTTATCCCCTCCTGTGCCTTAAATGCCTGCTGTTTTCTGAAGAAGACTGTTGCAAAAACACCAGGAGCATAAAGGCTGAGCAACTCCTTTTAATTCCAAACACATTTTATTTTCAGGACACTCACGTCTCCGAGGCGTCTGGGCAAGAAGGCTGTGAGCTCATCCCCACCCTCGGACCATCTTCTCCGCCGTTTCCCTTTCACTCTATCCCTAAAAAAAACTGCAAGGAAACTTCCCTGCCGGAGCCCTGAGAGAGCAAGGCTGAGCTCGAGCCACCTCGGCACATCTGCAGCAGCATCAGTTGAAGAGGAGGCGACTTCAACCCTCCGGGGAGGGAGAAATACCAGCGAACAAAAGGGTGGCGGGGTTGGGGCGGCCTGATTTCGTTTGCATCTCTCCTTTCTCCTCCTCCTCCTCCTCTTCTTCCTCCTCCAGCTTTTCCTCCCACAGCCTTCGGTGAAGTTGCAGCTACTTTTCTGTGCGTTGGCCGGGCGCCAGCCTGTGCGAGTTACGCTAATTTACCGCTTCCATTCAGCGGCCAGGGCTCGTCATTAATTACTCCGTCGCCCCGCTCGCAGCCAAACGAATTCAACAGGCGAGGAACCTCCTCACCCCCGGGAGTGACTTTCCCCCTAAAGCCAGCGGGATAATGAGGCTCCGGAGGAGGAGCGGGAAGACGGCGGGCAGGGACTCACATTGTCAAGCTGAGGGCTGAGAGCCGGGGAGGGGGAAAAAGGAAAAAAAAAAATAAAAAAAAATACAGGGAGGAAAATAAATAAATAAAAAAGAGCACCCAAAATCTGTATGACTGAAAGAGGCACGTTTAAATGCAAACTCTCCATATGTGCAAGAGTCTGTCAAGAAATGTACAATTTCACTTTTAATTACTGTCAGGGGAAAAAATAACTAAGAAGGAAAACAAAATACATGGGAGGAAAAAAAAAAAAAGAAAGGTTCTAAACACTAGAGAAGCATCAGCGACAAAATTTAATTGGTGATCAGGTGTGAATGTCCCTTTATGGCCCCAAAGCCAGGGCCAAAGCCACTGCTTGGACATCTGTCAGCTCTGAGCAGCCCAAGCTCTTCCATTCCAAACCCCAAATCCAAGAGTCATCTCACCCCTAAATTAACCTGGGTCTTCAAGGGCACCCGAGAACCTCATCAAGACCCTCCCAGTTTTAAATGGATGGGGAAAATAAGGGAGCTGAAAGCTGTGGGTGGCAGCTGAGCACAGCTGGGGCGTCTGCTCCGTCTTCACTGCCCGGGTTTGAGGCTGAATTTCCTAAATCTGGAGAAATCTTCCTCCCCTTGGAGGAGGAAACACAAACCCAGGGTAAAAGGCTCCAGCCCAGCAGCTGCTTTACACCTCTCACCCATCCAGCACAGGGAGCAATTCCAGTGGCTGGATTTGCTCCCTCCTGGGCTGAAAATGGGTAAAATGGGTAAAAGCCAAACTCTCCCTACATTTACATCCCATCCTGTCCCCACTCCGCCACCACGAGTGATCCTGGGGTCAATCCCTGAGCCTGGCACAGAAAGGATGGAGGCTGAAGGGAAAAAGCAAACAGTTGTAACCGAGGGAAGAGCAAACAGGATTTGGTTGTGTCAGGGGAGCCGCCGCCGGGGCCAGAAAAGAAACGATTATTTTAACAAGCCCTTAATCTCTTTCACAATGAGCTCAACCAGACTGAATTATTTTGCATCATCTACCGGGGAGGGGGGAAATAAACCCCTCCCCGGGCACAGCCAGCAGAGTGTATTGACTGATGGGCCCTAAACCTGCTCATACACACCCCGAGCACGTCTCCAAGGGGGGGTTTTGTTGACCCCCAACACCAGCAGGGCTCTGCGGGCAAGGACGGCCAGGCTGGCTCAGCCCGAGCCCAGCACAGCCTCTCTTGAGGAAATCCCATCCCCCCCTATGTGAAATACAAGACTCAAACTGTTTTTATGCCGGAGCAGGCTGCCAATTTTGTCACTAAATTTCACAGATCGATTGGCATAAATGTTACATTTTAATTTTAACATTTGAAACGTTTGGGTTTTTTTTTTTTTCCTTCTTCTTCTTCTTCTTTTTTTTTTTTCTTTTTTTTTTTTTAAATGACAAGAGGTTCCAGTTTATCCTTTTCAGATAGTGAAATTGGGCTCATCTGACAGCTCTCGGCTCCTCTGACAGCTCTGGATTTGGGCCGATTTCATTGTCAATTTGATCGTTAACTCATTTTTGTTTAACCTTTTCTTTTAAAATGCCCCATACAAAGTTGCCACCAAACCTTTAGGCACCACAACAAATAGCAACAGCCGTGATGATCCCTGTTTTTTAGGACTTCCAACCTCGTTATCA